ACTCCCAATACCGAGAAAAAAATTAAAAGAAAATCTGGACTCTGGGGTCACGTTAACAAGTAGCATGATGATGTCCGGGAGCAGGCACCCCAGGGGCTCCCCAGTCTCTCCTCCCACCCCCAGGGCAGGGAGCTAGGGGCTCCCCAGTCTCTCCTCCCACCCCCAGGGCAGGGAGCTAGCTTCCCCAGCCTCGCAGCCCAGCCTTCCTGCCCACGTCAGCAGTGCCCGACTTCCCGTGGGCCCAGGCCAGCAAGGCTATCGGCAGTCGGCCAGCCTTTCCCGCTGCTGGGTGATGACTCGGATTGTTCTGCTCTGGCCCTAGGCTGGGGCTCTCGTGGGGGGCACACGCCAGTCATGCCAACAGCAGTGAGGCTGAGGCAGGAGGATCTCGGGTTTGGGCCCAGCCTGGGCAACCCAGAGGTCAAAATGCAAACTAAAACCATTTATTCTCTCCCGGTGGTCTGGCACGCGGGAGTGAGATGGAGGTGTGAGGGGCTTGTGGGTACCCTCCCCTCTGGGTGCGGCCTTATCCTACCCCTCTGCTTAGCAGGACCCTCGTCCTGTGGATTAGCCCCACCCTCATGAGCACCTCATTTATTTTATTTTGCGGTGTTGGGCAGCAAAGACACCCCTCACGCCTGCTAGGAAAGTGCTCTACCGCAGAGCTACACCCCCTGCGCCCCACCCCGCGCCTCATTTTAACCTAATCACCTCTTTAAAGACCCTCTCTCCAACGGTCTCCCTCTCCCTCTCTCTCCCTCTCTTACTAGAGACAACCAGGGGCTTTGCCCTGAGCTACAGCCCTAGCTCATTTTATATTTTTTGAGACAGAGTCTCACTAAGCCCCCCGGCTGAGCTTGAACTTTTGATCCTTCTGCCTCAGCCTCCCATACTAAGGAGAGGCTTATTATTAGAGAATAATTTCTTGAGTAAAAGTGGTCTGGAAGGTCGTAAGAAACTCTGGACAAACTCACATCTGGAAGAAAGGACTGACTAGAACTGGGACTGGAGCAGCCGTGCACTTCTTTCTTTCCTCTTCCTCTTCCTCTTCCTCCTCCCCCTCCCCTCCCCCTCTCCCTCCTCCTC